TCCAAGAGGGCCCTGAATCTGCACACTCTGGAAAGGCGTAGAATTAGGGGGGATATGATCGAGGCGTATAAATGGAAAGCAGAAATAAATAAAGGGGATGTAAAAAGCTTGCTGAAAATTTCCAGCCAAGACAGGACTCGCAGCAATGGTTTCAAGTAGGAAAAATTCAGATTCAGGAAAGATATAGGAAAGCACTGGTTTGGTAATAGAGTTGTGGATGAGTGGAACAAACTTCCAAGTACAGTTATAGAGGCTAAAACGTTGTGTAGTTTTAAAAATAGGTTAGATAAATACATGAGTGAGTGTGGGTGGTCTGATGCCGTGCTCCTTCCTTAAGTGGAAGTGACCTGACTAGGTGTGTCATTGGGCTATTCGGGGGGGGGGACATGGACCTGCTTCGCATGGGTCAGTAGGCCTGTTGCAGTATTCCTTCATTTTTATGTTCTTAAGACCCTTCAACCTGCTATCAGCAGATATAAGAAATATTGCTGGAGTAAAATCAGAAGTTTTCGTTATGAAATCGGACGACTGTCTGATGTAAGTGCCTGATCAATCAAGTTGTGATGACTGTATGGGTCTACGAGCCCCTAGCAACAAAAGCTAGGTTGATCAGGCAATCAGGAAGTCTGAACTCGGGTTGATCTTGTCACGGCGAAGCCGATGGTTTTCCCCAACGATGGCAACGGGTGAAGGATAACTTGGCAGATATTTTGAAGGTTGTTGAATAGTATATACGTATATTATTTGTTAATGTTTTCACGATTGAGCATAAACCTGCGCGTCTTATCAGTCTCATGACCCCACTTGGTTCTTTTGATCAACTTTTAAATACACGTATATATTTCAAATCTGCCGCATTTGCATTAGTTTTAGCAATAAAAAATAGTGGTCATGATTAAGAAATGACCCCCCCCCACCCCCACCCCCACCCCCCACATACACACATGTCGTGCCAATTAGGTAAAATTGGTCAGTTAGCAAGAACTTATTTAATATTAAGTCCTTTCTAAAATTTTCTCTTATACGTTTAAAGATATATATTTTTTCATTTATATTAATGTAAATAAATATTAATGTTGTACCAAAAGAACCTTAGGAAACTTACCTGACCTTATAACAAACGCAATTTAATTTATCCTAATCCAACTAAATATATTTTAGATAAGTTTACAATTATTTAATAATAAACAAACACAATGAAATATATATTTTTCGTTCGGTTCAGAATTATTTTTTTTGCGAAATTATTGCACACACAAATTTTCACTTGTCTTATTCGGTAAGAAGAGCTTTGTTCTTTAAGCGAAAATAGCAAGTTTTACCTGTTCGGCACGACCTTACACACACACTATGTATACATACACACACACACACACACACACACACACACACACACACACACACACACACACACACACACACACACACACACACACACACACACACACACATATATATATATATATATATATATATATATATATATATATATATATATATATATACAAAATTTTTTATTTTTTATACAAGGGCTGGAGGACCTAACATTAAAGTTTATATCTTGCCTGCCACAACCACTCCCAGGATGCAAATATTGCATGCTTTATTGCTAGGTTTAAATTGTTTTAAGTGTCTCCACGCTGCAGCCTTCAACCCCCCCCCCCTCCCCCTCATCCCTCTAACACACCCCAGGGGTTAGGTGGGATGTTGGTGGGAGTAAGAAATGTTGAGGATGTGTGTGTGTGTGTGTGTCTCTCTCTCTCTCTCTCTCTCTCTCTCTCTCTCTCTCTCTCTTTCTCTCTCTCCTCTTCTCTCTCTCTCTCTCTCTCTCTCTCTCTCTCTCTCTTTTTCTCTCTCTTTCTCTCTTTCTCTCTCTCTCTCTCTCTCTTTCTCTCTCTCTTTCTCTCTTTCTCTCTTTCTCTCTCCTCTCTCTCTCTCTCTCTCTCTCTCTCTCTCTCTCTCTCTCTCTCTCTCTCTCTCTCTCTTCTCTCTCTTTCTCTCTCTTTCTCTCTCTCTCTTTCTCTCTTTCTCTCTCTCTTTCTCTCTCTTTCTCTCTCTTTCCTTCCTTTCTTTCCCTCCGCCTCTCTTGCAGCGTATAATGGGGCTGAGTCCGCCACTTGCAAGGACGTCCTCTAATATACGGCTTTCTGGAGAATGTTATTATGGACTTTGAGTCTGTTTCCGGATTCTTGTGATGACCTTGTGGGAGCGAGAGAAGATAACCAGAGAAGGGGACGAATGTGAACTATACCAATTGAGTTAAAGACCAGCACATGAAAATAAAATAATGAAGAGGGAGAGAGAGAATGAAAACAGTTAATGTATAATAGCCAGGATTGTAACATACTGATTTGTAGTTTGTTAGACAGCAACCATCCAGGTAGGTACTACCGTCCTGTCATATGAGTACGGAACATTTACACACCAGGTAGTAAGCTGACAGCAACCATCATAGATGTTGCCTTCCTGTCATAACAGTGTAAAACGAAATTCTGTCAGTCTTTTCTTCTGTCTACTGAACACGTCAGATATGTAAATCTTACAAACTTTTACCTACATCCAATATATTTATTTATATTTTTCTGTGTTAATATTTCTCATTACTGTAATATATCCTTTTCCGGACTGGCAAGTTGTGTTCGTAAGATAGCTGATATTAAAGTCGGAGGGGCAGACAGACAAGTAGTTACTGTTGGTGTAAAAACCTGCTAGAAACAGGCGCAGACACAGGCAAGCGGTCAGACAGTAAATAGTTAAGCAAACAGACACAGTTACAAGCAGGCAGTCAGGGACAGACAAGCTTGCAGGAAGTTATAGTAGATAAATGCAGGCAGGAAGACAGGCAGGCAGGCAGGGAGACAGTAGATATAGTCAGGCATTTCCAGCCAGTGAGCTGGAAGAGTAAGACGGGTGCGCGGGGTTACAGAGAGGACGGTGAGGAAGGAACAGACAGACAGATTGGTCCTGTTAGCCACTTCGTTAATCTCCTCTGCCAATAAATTCAATCAGGACGGTAGACAGACTCGATCCACACGTGTTCGTTCACCCTCTTGCGATTGATCACTGGACGAACCCTTCTGAGACATCCTCTTCGAATCTCCTAGTGGGTTTCCTCTTTCAATACCCATTTTTTTTACTTTAATCCTTTAATCGCTCTTTCATCTATACAAAAAGGTTCTAAAATTAATTAAAAGATTTACTTTCAATTGGGAAACGATCAAGTGAGAGATATGAACTCTGGTGATCGAAAATATTTGGGAAAATATCGTCCGTAGGCGCATGGGCAACATATCAGTAAACACATGATTAGGTGGAGGCTGGTAATTCCCACCGGCTGGAATGAGGCCGAGGATCGTACTGGGACTTAGGAATGACCTCGTTTCCTTGCCATTCCCACTTCTATGTCAGGGGACTCAAAGGCCCAGATTCCCTTCGTCGGGGACCAGGGTGTCAGGGTAGGGTGACAGGGCTCCCTTGTAGAGGATAATGAGAGAGAGAGAGAGAGAGAGAGAGAGAGAGAGAGAGAGAGAGAGAGAGAGAGAGAGACTGAATGACGTCAATTACAAATGAATGTTATTGGCCTCACTGGCTCCAACTTCCTCCTGTACCCAATATGGATATTGGTAATGAGATGTAGAGTAAAGATATTCACCAAAAAACCCCACTTAAAAGTGGAACCTTAACGACGTTTCGGTCCGTCCTGGATCATTAAGTCACGATCTGACATTGGTTCAGGACGAACCGAAACGTCGTCATAAGGTTCCTCTCCTAAGTGCGGAATTTTTATTGAATTGTTACAGCCAGGGTATGATGACTTTACCACTTGTAAAACATACGTAACTCTTGAGTGATCTCATAGACCACCCTAAGTATAAAACGAAAAGTGTTAAATGAAAGAAAGTGATGAGCTGAACGGTGACTCTTGAGTCCCAGACGTGGAGTGACCACTTCCTCCAGATGTATCTTAGTACTTTTATAATGTATTGCCCGACTCTAAAAAGAAGTGTCTTTTCTCTCTCTCTCTCTCTCTCTCTCTCTCTCTCTCTCTCTCTCTCGCATCTTGTTCTCCCTTAGAAAACGGAGCTACGAGGTGACCTACAAACTTTCTAGATAGCACTAAACAAACTCTGGTATGAAGGTCGCATTTCAAGTGCAAAAATAACTAATTACATAACCAAGGGGATAAAACTCTGTGGCAAGCAGTTTGATACAGATGTTGGTGAGGACTTTTTTTGGGCAGATAGTTGTAGCGCACTGGAATATTCTTCCTTTAACGTTAAGGTAAAATAATTTTGGTCATTTAGTAATTAGATAAACACTACAAATATAATTATCTTCTCTGGGTATTATCCACCGCCTCCTTGGCCGAATATCCGGAACCACTTATGATTGGGTATTCATGGCTCGGTTGGTAGCCACCTCAGTTCGCACAGAGGGAAAGGAGTTCGATCCCCGGCAGAAGTGGACACGTTGGGCATGTTTCGATTATAGCTGTTGCTCGTGTTTACCTAGGTGTTACCGATTAGTGCGGGTCGCATCCTGGGGAGAGGATCAAAGGAAATGAGTCCTCGATGACATCCTGATGTTATTGGATTACCAGTCCTCCGGGTTACTAATCCCAATGAAATTCCCTTCATCCGGAGCAATATTCAAAAAGTAGAATTTTTTTTTTTCATATTGAGAGCACATCTTGTACAGTAGTACACACATCACTGCAGCTGACGGTAGAGTAGCATGAGTAGAGAAAGAAAGTATTAATACATCTCTTCTAGAATTTTTTCCAGAAGTGCATTTATTTTATTCTCTGAGACTTAGGTTGCCTAGAGGCAGTACTCGCTTGTGTATAAACATACACAGAGTGAAACTCCAAGCGCTTTCGTGATAAATCTCGAAAGCTCTTGGAATTTCACTGTGTTTTTTTTAACTGTGTGTGTGTGTGTGTGTTAGTAATGGAAAGCAGCAGTGAGTCGCCCTAGTAATTCTCTGGTTTTCTTCCACAGGCGCTAAAGGAGAACCGGGTTCCAGAGGAAGAAGAGGCAAGAAAGGGAAAGATGGTGAAGCTGGTCCCATGGTAGGTCCTTCCTTCCTACCCCTTTCATTCCTACTCTCATTTCTTTATGCATTTCTTCCCTCACCTGCCTACCATTTTTGTTTTGCTTCCTCTTTCCCCCTCATTCTTCTCATCCTCTCTCTGCCTCACTTTCTTGCTCTCTCCTTTCCCCTACATCTTCTCCCTCCCTCATTCTCATAAGCCTCCATCCTTTTCTTACGCTTTCCCGTTCCTTCACCTCTTTCTCCTCGGTTTCTTTTTCAGCATTTTTCTCTTTGCTTATCTCTTCATCCGGATCCACTTCTCTGTTTATATATTTCTTCACTTTCTCCACCATTTCCATTTGTCCTCTTCCTCCAAAATAAAATTTTATTTTAATTTGTGTTAAATTGTTAAAAAATTACATTTTTTGAAATTGAGAGAGTGAGTGAGTGAGTCTAACAAAAAAGGTGAACCATTTACCTTCTAAATATTTAACTCAAGGAACAGGAATGATCGTTAACACTTCAAAGTCTGCCACAACTACCTGCTTGAGAGTTATGTGAACACCATAATACATGTATGGGCAATATCAGGTTTGATACTTAACCAGACCTCTTCAAGGGGGGCTCCTTGGCGTGGTGAAGAGGCTCTTGGTCTGAGGAATTAGCCCTGTCGGTCTTCTTCCTCAGACCGAACCTAATTACCCCCCATTCTCCCCTCCCCTATCCCATCCTCCCCATCCTCCCCTTTTTCCATTCCTCCTCCTCACCCCTCCCTTTTGCCCTTCCTCTTTTTAGCCTTCGTGATTTCTCCCACAGGCGCGCTAGTTCCTAGGTAGGGGAAAGGACACCGGGGTCCATCCCATTCCGTTGAGGTTTCTTGGCGGTGGCGTAGTTTGCCGTGGAATCTGGATTGCCTAGGGATGTCCCGATCCCTCTCCGGTATCCCGGAGTAGCTTTGGGTGTCTTTTGGGCGACGGGTGTATCTCTGGAAGCCACCTTTCGGATTCCGGGGGTGGTGGCTGAAGGAGGTATGCTTTGTGGCGGATATCCGGCCGCCCTCTCTTTTGTCCACCGAGGTAGCTCGGCAGATGTGAGGTTGCTATCCCAGATTGCTGGTTTACTGGCATGAAGGGTAGGGTATGGCACGGGTTCCATGCTGCATCTGCGCTACTAGCGGTGTCGAGTCCTCTTGGGCGCGGAGGGAGATTTCTGGCCCTTTCATTCCTCCTAGGAACTATCCCTCCCCGGTCCCCCCTTTTTTTTTTCTTTTTTTTGTTTTTATTTTCTTTTCTTCTTTTCTTTTTTTTTTAAAAACAAAAAGAAAGAAGTACCTAACCATGGCAGCCCTAGTCCATGAACCTAGTACCCCGGGCCCCTTCTTGATACCGCACCCCGTTCTGACCCCGCCTCGTCTTTGGACCACTCTTCAGACATTCCTCATGCCTCTGTACCTATTGCCGGTGCTGTTTCCTCACCCGCTTCAGGTACTGAGGCCTCGACTGACTCCTTCGATTTATCAGACCTTCGCTCTCCTCTGACTATGCTTCCGGCCTCTCCCTCTACGGTGCGGCAATTTTCAAATCGCCGACCCGTTCCACGTCGGACCAACTCTGGTCCCACGCCTAAACGTCAACGACAATTACCTGCTGATGATACTTCTCCACCTTCACCTTCTCGTTCTTCTCAGAAACGATTGACACGTCCTTCACTACCTTTCCACGCTCAGTTTCAGACTGAACAGTGGACTAAATTCTTCACTTTACGACCAACTTCCTCTACTGCCTATCTTTCTGACCATAGTATTGGCAAGGCACTCCTACGCCATGTTGGTAAAGATATTTCTTTTCATGCTCTTAAGAGCGGTACGCGCATCATTACCGTACAGAATGCTACCCAGGCTCGTGAGCTCTCTCGTCTTTCCCATATAGATACTGTTCCTGTCACCCTTGAAAAACATCATTCCCTCAATTCTTGTAGTGGTACCGTTATTCTGCCCATACCATAGTTCAACAAAATTTCCAGACATGTGGCACCGACATTCTAGAACAGCTGGAACTCCAAGATCTCCCAATCCTCAAGGTAGACACTTACGTTCTTCCTGCCCGTGGGCGGAGACGATACCCTAGCAATGTGGCTCGTTTAACTTTTGACAGCCGAGAACTCCCATCCTCCGTTTATATAGCAGGACATCGGTTACAAGTTCGAAAGGTGATCCCTACACCACAACAGTGTGAAATTGCTGGCGATTTGGCCATCCAGCAAAAATATTGCAGATCTATCGCCGAATGCCCAGTCTGTGGTGCCGATGGACCATTCTAATACGTCTTGCAATCGATCTCCTCTTGCCTTAACTGTCATGAGGCTCACCCTTCGTACTCTCGCCGTTGTCAGGTCTATTTAAACGAGCGGGAAATCCGTTACCTTCAAAGAGACAGAAGGTCTCCCTTATGCCATGGCAGTTTCTCATCTCCGCCTCCAAGGGAGACTCCCACGTGTTTCTTATTCCCGTGTTTCAAAACGTCCCCCACTTCTGGTATCCCATCTTCTACACCCACCTCTGTGGTTACCTCTCCCATAATCACTCCTGTATCTAATCCTTTTGCTGTCCTCGGCTCAGACGTCCCTACTTCAACGCCTCAGTCTAATCTCGCTTCTCGAGTTCTCTCTTACAAGCCTCAGTATCGACGAGACCTCGTACGACACCTCTTCCCAATCGTCCCTCTACTTCTCAAAAGTCAAAAAAAGGTCCGGTAACACCTCCTACCCCATCTTCCACCTCCTCATTTTACCCTCCCTGTCTCTGTCCCTAGTTCTTCCCCTCTCACTGGCTCGGTTACAAGTGCAGAGGTTCACCCTCCTCCTCGTAATGTACCTTCCTCCCCTGTTCCCTTCCCAAGTTTCTTCCTCTTCTGCCACCTCCCAGGTTCCTGTCTCTTCTGTCCCCTGCCACGCTTCTCCAGTTCCCTCCACCCTTTCGCCCCCCCCTACCTTGGTACAGTCCAATACAGTTCCAATCTTTACTCATCCTCCCCCTACCATTCCCAATATTGTCTCCCATTACGACATCTCTGAATTCCGAAACACTTGAAGCAATCTCTGAATATATTGCAGAGACCAAACCATCAATGGACACTGATCCACCTTCCGCTCTTTCTCTCTCCTCTGCTCCATCTGCGCAACTCCTTTCTTCACAGCACACCGTTCCTTCGCTGCTTGAACATTTTCCACTGCCTCCGCATGTGGACTTTTCTAACCCTTCTAGTCCGTAGGAACCCTTACCTGCGGATTTCAAGTATCTTTATCATTGCCAATCATGGCCTTTTTACAGTGGAATATACGCGGCCTCAGGGGTAATCGGGGTGAGCTTCAGATGTTACTCTCCCAGTTTGCCCCTGTTGGTGTTTGCTTACAGGAACCAAAATTACACTCTGCTGTTATTTCTCACATCTCAGGCTATAATTTGTTGTATTCTTCAGATCCTTTTCCTGATGGGACCTTTAATGAAAGTGCCCTTCTTCTCCGCACTGATATTCCGTACCATCAACTATTTATTCATACTTCGCTGCATTACACAGCAGCCCGTATCCACTTACATAGGGTATACGCTCTGTTCTTTATATCTCTCTCCTTCTCGGGCATTATCTATTCCGGATTTTGCCTTCCTTGTTTCGTCATTACCGCCACCGATTCTGTTACTTGGTGATTTTAATGCCCACCATTTCCTCTGGGGGGGTCTCACTGTGATTCCCGTGGAATTCAGTTAGAGGCTTTTCTTGCCACCCACCCCCTCCATGTTTTAAATACAGGTACTCACACCCATTTTGATCCTCGGACTCATACTCTCTCTTGCATCGATCTCTCAGTTTGCTCTTCCTCCGCCGCATTAGACTTTACTTGGTCTGTTCTCCCGGACTTACATGACAGTGATCATTTCCCAATCATTCTTTCTTCCCCTTCATATTCGCCACCTCTTCGCACCCCACGCTGGCAATTTAATCGGGCAAATTGGAACCTTTACTCACACCTGACTGTTTTTAAAGAGGTTCCTTCTTCGTCCTCCATCGATGAGCTTTTACACCTCTTCTCGTCCTCCGTTTTCACCGCAGCTTCTCATTCTATACCCAAACTTCGGGCAGGCATTCTCAGAAATGCGTGCCTTGGTGGTCTCCTGCTTGTGCTCGTGCAGTACGTTGAAACGCGCTGCATGGGGCAGGTACCGGTACAATAGAACCACAGAGCGAACTCCTTGATTTTAAACAGAAGCGTGCGATCGCTCGCCGTGTCATCCGTGACGCTAAACGCACTTGCTGGCGAGATTATGTCTCCACCATCACCTCTGCTTCCTCTATGAGTGCAGTCTGGAAAAAAGTACGAAAACTGAGTGGTAAATATTCTCCTGACCCGGCTCCTGTTCTGCGAGTTGCCGGTGTTGATATAGCAAACCCACTAGATGTTGCCAATGAAATTGGCAATCATCTGGTCCGTATTTCTCAGGGACTCCATCTATGCCCCCCATTTCTTTCCTCAAAGTCTGCCAGAGAGTTAGCACCCTTGGACTTTTCTTCTCTCAGAGAAGAACAGTATAATGTGCCTTTTACACTTCAAGAACTGGAGGCAACACTCTCAGCTTGTCGATCATCGGCAGCTGGGCCCGACGACATTCATATTCGTATGCTACAACATTTACTCAGTCAGCCCTTGCAGTCCTATTACGCCTTTACAATCTTATTTGGTCACAAGGAGTTCTTCCACAGCTGTGGAAATCCGCCATTGTTCTCCCTTTCCGCAAACCAGGCACTACGGGACATGAAACCTCCCACTATCGTCCATTGCTCTTACCAGTGCAGTTTGCAAAGTAATGGAACGTCTAGTAAATAGACGTTTAGTGTGGTATTTAGAGGGACACACAACAGTCTCTCCACTCGTCAATATGGCTTTCGTAAGGGGACGTTCTACCATAGACCCCTTACTGCGCTTGGATACGTATGTTCGTAATGCCTTTGCGAATAACCACTCAGTTATTGCCATATTGTTTGACCTTGAGAAGGCATATGACACAACTTGGAGGTATAATATTTTAGCCCAAGTCCACTCCTTAGGCCTTCGAGGCAATCTACCATCCTTCCTTAAGAACTTTTTAACTGACAGGCATTTCCGTGTTCGGGTTAATAATGTTGCTCTCCCCGGACTTTGTCCAAGCTGAAGGTGTCCCCCAGGGATGTGTTCTGAGCACAACACTTTTTCTCCTTGCTATTAATGATTTGGCCTCTAGTCTTCCATCAAATATTTGGTCATCACTCTATGTTGATGACTTCGCTATTGCCTGTGCAGGCGCTGACTGTCACCTCCTTACAGTTTCTCTCCAGCATGCAGTCGACCGTGTTTCCAATTGGGCCACCACACATGGGTTTAAATTTTCCAGCACTAAAACCCACCAAATCACTTTCACTAGACGCTCTGTCATCTCTGATCATCCTTTGTACCTCTATGGCTCACGTATCCCTGAACGTGATACAGTCAAGTTTCTGGGCCTCCTCTTTGATCGTTTGGTTATCCTGGAAACCTCACATTACCTCTCTGAAGGCAACTTGTCACAGCCGGCTGAACCTTCTTAAAACCCTTGCTCATCTTTCGTGGGGAGCTGATCGTCGAACCCTCCTTCACCTACATTCCACCCTTTTTTATCGAAACTTGATTATGGTGACCAGATCTATTCAGCGGCATCTCCTGCTACTCTCTCTAGCCTTAACCCCATTCATCACCAAGGATTACGTTTATGCCTTGGTGCTTTTTTGCTCTTCCCTGTCGAAAGCCTCTATGCAGAAGCGAACGTTCCATCCTTATCCGATCGCCGTGATGCCCATTGCCTGCGCTACTATGTACGCTCTCATGATCTCCGCAATCCTTCCATTTATAGAATGGTCACTGATATTAGTAGACATTCTTTATTTGTTCGCCGCCCCTGCTTACTCCGTCCCTTCTCTCTTCGCCTTCATTCGCTCTTGTCTTCTCTTCAACTACCACCTTTCTATGTACATGTAGCATCTCACTTTTCCCTACCCCCCTGGGAAGTTCCAGCTGTTCGAGTCTGTTCTTTCTCCCTCCCTTGCTCGAAAGCCCAACTGTCTACGGTCGCTTCCCCCCTCTCTTTTTCTTGACCACTTTCACTCTCATTCTCATGCCCTTGCTGTGTACACAGATGGCTCTAAGTCTTCTGACGGCGTAGGATTCGCAGCAGTGTTTCCGGACAGCGTCGTACAAGGGCATTTACTATCTTCAGCTAGTTTTTTACTGCTGAATTATATGCCATCCTTACAGCACTTATCCGTATTGCATCTATGCCTGTGTCATCATTTGTGGTTGTCTCAGACTCCCTTAGTGCTTTACAGGCTATAAAAAATTTGATACACCTCACCCCTTAGTCCTCCGTATCCAACTTTGGCTACGCCGCATCTTTACTAAGCATAAAGATATTGTTTTTTGTTGGGTCCCTGGTCATGTTGACGTACAGGGCAATGAACAGGCAGACACTGCTGCGCGGTCAGCAGTACATGACCTACCAGTTTCTTATAGAGGTATTCCCTGTACGGACTATTTTGCTGTAATATCTTCCCACCTTCACACCCGTTGGCAACAACGTTGGTCTACTATGCTCGGCAACAAACTTCAGTCTATTAAACCGAGTATAGGTTACTGGCCGTCTTCTTATCACCAGTGTCGAGGTTGGGAGACTACTCTCTCCCGTCTTCGCATTGGCCATACTCGTCTTACTCATGGATATCTCATGGAGAGGCGTCTTGCTCCTCTCTGTGAGAATTGCCAAGCTCCATTATCAGTCAGCCACATTCTGTTGGACTGCCCACTTTATCAACGAGCACGCAGAATTTACCTCTGTCGTCGTCTTCGCCCCGCTGCTCTCTCTTTACCTTCCTTCTCGCTGATGGACCCACCTTTCATCCGGACTCTCTCATTGACTTTTTGACAACGACTGACTTACTTCACAAATTCTGATACTTTCAGCCCTTTCTACTTGTATCTCTTGCTACCCTCTACCCCCGTACTATCCCCTGCCCCGCTGTTTTCTGTAACCTGCTGATCATCCCCCTCCCTTCTGCCATCCAATTCCCTTGCTTCCTTCCCTACCCTGCAGCGCTGTATAGCCCTTGTGGCTTAGCGCTTCTTTTTGATTATAATAATAATAATACTTAACCAGAAAGCACTGTGTGTGTACTCGCCTAGTTGTGTGTGTGTGTGTGTGTGTGTGTGTGTGTGTGTGTGTGTGTGCGTGTGTGTTTGTGTGCGCGTGTTTGTGTGCGCGTGCATGCGAGTGTAATTGTGGGAGTGTGCGCGTTAATTAACAGAGTGGTCTCCTATATTTCAGGGTCCCAGTGGTCCACCTGGCAAAAACGGATTTCCGGTATATTAATCCTTCTCTTAATGTCTTTGTAATCCCTGTTATTGTTTTTATTTTGTATTTAAGTAGCTTGTCCACATCCTTCAGCTCCTCAAGTGCCTGATCATAGATGTATATATTATTGCTGTATTTTGTTGCATTTTTTGAAGATTCTTGATAGCAATGAAGTCATTTTTTCGATATCCTGGTATTGTGTATTGACGACGATGTCTGCTAGTATTCATCATGATTGATGCATGACGGGGTAAACCCGGCAGGCTGCATGAAACTCCTGCTTACCCGATACCTTCCCACGAGCACACCCTTCAAGGGAAGGGGATTATGCCCTGATGCTGAAGATCTCGTGGTCCAAGGTATTAGGGCTACCTTACCGTTCCTTGCATCAAGTCTCATTACATCCTGTTTGCTAGGAGCTGTTTGACCCCAAACGGGCGTAGCTTCTCCATGACTATTATAGTATATTAATATTTATTATTTTCATTTGTAAGACAATTATAATAGTAATAACAATATATAGTGTTAATATCATAATCCAAAAGGATAATACTGGAGTAAGATTGTTATGGCGATGGTATCAGTATATGTGTATTAATTACTTAGTTACGCTCATACATTTAGCATATACATGCCTCTTGCTCACCTATGTACTTCTTATTAGCTCTTAATTCTGTAATGATGCCTCTGCAACCTAGGAAGCCGGGTCTGAAACCTGACAACGGGGAAGATAATCCCCAGAACCACTAACAAATACCTAATACCAGATCCAATTAGTGAGTTGTGTTGCACACACTCAAGTATCCACAAGCTGTCTAGCACAGAGACGGATTATTGACATCCTCTTTATCACCAATTAAATTTATCCCCTTCATGTTTTTTCTGAATCTTTTTTTTTCTAACCCAGGGTCAGGATACAAGAGGCTACTTGTATCTTAAATTTACACGGGATTGTTTGCTGGGGAAAGGTTATCACTCCAACGACTGTTGGGGCTTGCAGCTGACACGCCCACTAGGCTGGTCGGGAACTGTTCTCCAGATATATTTTTTATTAGGCTAGGGAGGGCAAAATAAGGGAACTAGTAGTATTAGTGATGGTGTTAAACATGATGGTGGTGTTGAGGATGATAACGAAGGTGGTGATAATGATGGTAATAACGATCGTGGTGATGGTGGTGATAATACTGCAAGCCTGATGGTGATAGTGAAATAGATGGATACTGATGGTGATGTGCATTTTGATTTCAGTGGTAATGAGACTGTGTTGACGATAATAGTATTACTACTGATAGTTATTGTGGTAGTAATAAAATCTGTAGGAACTGTTAAGCTACTAATAAGACTACTTCAATCACCAGGTCAGCGTTCAGGTGGTAACATCAAGTCAATAAGATTTACCTGTGAAAGGTTTCGAGGGGTTTTCTAACCTCAGAGCTAGGCCTGGAGCCAGGCTTCCCTGTTGACTGCCTGATCAACCAGGCTATTTGTGCTAGTGGCCAGTGATAATGTCAATCAAGATGATTGCACTAATAATGAAAGGCAGTTGCACATATGCTGTCCCATTTATTTTGTTGCACTTCTGTTTCTCTCTCTCTCTCTCTCTCTCTCTCTCCTTCCCTCCCCTGGGGCAACAGGAGTGCATGTCGAAAGGATGACTTGCAGAGAGGGGGAAGGGAGATGCAGAAAAAAAGTGTACGAAAGATAATGAGAGGCACAGAGGATGATGGACGGAGAGAGGGAAGAGTGTGCCACAGAAACAGACGTAAAGGAGATAGAATAGAAGGAAGAGGCAAGAATATAGAAGAATAATGAGGCAGAGAATCAGCAATAGGAATGGGGGGGGGAGGAAGGAACAAGGAGAGAAGGATAGAGTGAGGAGGAAGGGGAAGAGGGAGATAATTAAGGCAGAGCTACAAGAGGTGACACAAGAGGTGAGAGTGACACAAGAGACAGACTCAGAAATTGCTTATTACTTGGTAATCAATAAATATTATAGTGTAGGTAGAAATGATTATCTCCAGATTGCTGGAATACGTAAATAATTATAATATATATATATATATATATATATATAATATATATATATATATATATATATATATATATATATATATATATATATATATATATATATATATATATATATATATATATATATATAAGGATTTTAATAATTGTAAAAATATTAGTAATTTTAATGTAATAACTTTAATAATTGTTTTAAGAGTAAGGTGATGAGGATTTGGATATCAGATTGGAGGGAAAGAGTATGGAGGAAGTGAATGTATTCAGATATTCGGGAGTGGATGTGTCAGCAGTTGAGTCTATGAAGGATGAGGTGAATTATAAAACTGACGAGGGGAAAAAGGTGAGTGGTGCACTGAGGAGTCTGTGGAGACAAAGAACTTTGTCCATGAAAGCAAAGAGGGGAATGTATGAATGTATAGTTATACCAACACTCTTGTATGGGTGTGAGGCATGGGTTGTGAATGTTGCAACAAGAAGGCTGAGGCAGTGGAGATGTCATGTCTGAAGGCAATGTGTGGTGTCAATATAATGCAGAGATTCCGTAGTTTGGAGATTAGGAGGAGGTGGAGGTGCGGGATTACCAAAACTATTATCCAGAGGGCTCAGGAGGGGTTATTGAGATGGTTTGGACATGTAGAGAGGATGGAACGAAATAGAATGACTTCGAGAGTGTATAAATCTGTAGTGGAAGGAAGGCTGGGTAGGTGTCTGCCTAGGAAAGGTTGGAGGGAGGGGGTAAAGGAGGTTTTGTGTGAGAGGGGCTTGGACTTCCAGCAAGCATGCGTGAGCGTGTTAGGAGCAAATGGAGATGAATGTTTTTTAGGACTTGACGTGCTGTTGGAGTGTAAGCAAGGTAGCATTTATGAAGGGATTCAGGGAAACCGGCAGGCCAGACTTGAGTCCTGGAGATGGGAAGTACAGTGTCTGCACTCTGAAGGAGGGGTGTTAATGTTGCAGTTTTATAACTGTAGTGTAAGCGTGCCTCTGACAAGACAGTGATGGAGTGAATGATGGAATTTTTCTTTTTTTGGGCCACCCTGCCTTGGTGGGAAACGGCCGATGTGTTAATAAAAAAATATTTATTTTAATTGTATTAATTTTAATAATTGTAATTTTAAAAATAATTTTAATAGTACTGTAGTAATAATGGAAAATAAAAGGAAGGTTGTAGGAAGGAGTGAGAGTAAGTGGGAAGGGCTGTGAGCTGGGAAGGAACCCTTCCTGGAACGTGGCCTGACGCCGCTGAAGGGCTCTTGATCCAGGGAGTTAGCTACCTTCTACTTTGATCATGAGTATTTGCTTTCCCATCCCCATTCTCCAGGTATTGTACGACCCCTACGGGATTAGCGCTTACCAATAAATACAATAATGAAAATGTGAGGTAGGGAGAGAGGGGAATAGGTGAAGGGAGAGGTTCTGATGGATGGGGTGGAGGAAAGGAATGGGTGAAGGGAGAAGGTCTGAGGGAAGGGGTGGAGGGAGAGGTTCTTGGGGAAGGGGGAGGGGAGGAGGAAGGTACGATTCTTATTAATGTACCAAAATTAGATACATCCACAGTGTGCTGCTACTCTTTCTATACCCTACTTATATATCGGGACCCAATGATAGCTTCTTCCCTCTTATGGGGTTCACACACTGTTGATATCTCTCAGCCTGAGCTGGGAGACTTCAGTGCAGGCGATGAGGGAGGGATAGGGACAGGAAGGGAAGGAAGTGAGAAGGGCAAAGAGGGAAGAAGTGATAATATAGAGGCGGAGGAGGAGAGAAAACATGAATCGCAAAAATTTACAAAAGGAATCTGATACAAACGTGAATTCTCAGCTGTACTTTAGTAAAAACCCTGTGCTTTTGATGATTCAGACGAGAAGTTGCAGAAGTTGGTGGAGAAGTTTGCAAGGGTGTACAAAAGAATTAAGTTGAAAATGAGCATAGGAAAGAGCAAGATGTGTAGAGAAGGAATACCAGGTATGCAAGACTGAACGTCAGTGTCTCAGGAAAGAGAATGGAGAAAGCTAATTTATTTAGATATAAGGGAATCGATGTGTCTGCAGATGGGTAATTTAAGAGGTGTGTTGAAGTCTGTGGATTGAAAAAAAAAGTGGAATGTATTTGGACGCCAACGCTTTTACATGTGTGGGGAGTGACCTTGAATGTTTCAGCAAAGAGAAAGCTAGTCAGTAGATGTGTTATATTAATGTTGTGTGAATATAATGCAGAGAATAAGAGTGAATAAATTAGAAAAAAAGGTGTGATGATGTTATAGATACAAACGAAGGCGTGAAAGAAGGGTTAATTAGATGATTTGGTCATGTGGCAATAAAGAAGCAGTAATAGGTTCATCAAGGTTTATAAATATTAAGTAGGTGGAAAGTTGTTTAGGGAAACGTATGTGAATAGCTGGGAGTGTGTGAAGGTTTTGAAATACAAGGTGCTTGTTAGATCAGCGAATGGAGAAGAGTGGTTTTGGGATTTGATGTGCTGTTGGAATATGAGCGTGGTAATGTATGTAAGGAAATATTCCAGAAAACTGGTTTCACAGACTCAAGTTCTGGAGGTGGGTAGTATGATGCGTGCACTTGGAGAGATGGGTTGCAGGGTTGGGGTTTGGTGGGTCGTTGAGTCCAGATATGCTACGCGTTCACTTCGGGAAAAAATAACTAAGGACAGTGATAATTTTTGTGGTCCGTCTCTGCCTTTGTTGGAAATAGATATGTTATAAAATAGCGTTTGAATTTATACAGTACTAAAACTGTTTAACACTAATGTTTTTTTAACCGCTTTTTCCAAAAGTTACTGACATGACCAAATATGTATACATATCCACACGAAAACATAAAACCTGACTGATCTGTGGCGCCAGCAAACGTACATGCAGACAAAACAGAAAAATACGCAGGAGCTTACTGAATATTGGCCTGCACGCTGATTTATTTGCTTGCGTCATGCATACACTTTTTCCTAGTTATGAAGCCGTGTAGCTG